AGTCAATATTCATACCATAAAGGTACCTCATCTGACTGTAGGTTGATCAACCAGCAGAGAAAGTTAGAATTCACGTCAGTTACATCAGATCTTTCCAAGAGAAGGGTGCAGCCCTCCAATAGCTTTGTGTCTAGGGGATATAATAGGCTGTCATGAGCTATTTTGATAGAAATAAATGTCACCATAAAAAGAAATAGCCAAGCCAGGTTGGCTAATATGCTCCAGAAATCAGTGTAAACTGTGTGTTTAATCAAAAATAAGTCACAAGTGGTTTTTTTTTTTTTTTATGAAAGGCACTCAGAAGATAAGCAAAGAAAACCTGTTGTTAAAATTAAGAGATTTTACATAGGATGTCTATGTTTTTATGCTTCAGAACCCAGCTATTAGAAAAATAAAACAATATAATCTAGGAACAGGATTCTGCATCTGTGTCATTTAGTTTACGTAGCTTTTTCATTGTACTAACTTCATTGTACTAATTTGTACCAAAATCGATTAAACTGTTGGATCATGTGTTTGTCAGGTGGCATTCCAGTGGCATATATAAAATACTTCAAGATTTTCTGTTGGGGTCTAAATTCCTAGCAGGAATTCCTCAGCAAAAAGACAGCTTCGAAACGCACAATAAGACACAAGCTACCCTCTCTCTCTCTTATGCAAAAATCCTGTATGTGTGGCACACTTACATTTTATATCAGGATTAACGCTTTTAGTATTTTTCCTGTTTTCTCTGCTGATTTTTTTGACCAGCCTCATCATAATTTTTAACTACAGACATATTCAAGTTCCATTACCATTTCATCCATTAAACTGTGTACTGAACAGTAATTACCAGCCCTACAAAAGGCTATTTCATCTAGTGGTACTGATGTGAATTAAGACACATTTTCACACTGTCCCAAACCGCGATTAGCTTTCCAGGGGTATATTTTTCTTTTCTCTTCCTTCCAATTCTCATGGTTCTCCTCCCTTTTCCTCCTCTTCCCCCTTACAGCAGGGTTTTTCAAACAATAAACGTGTGGGTTTAATTTACACCTTTTCTTACACCTTCAGAGCACAGCTATTTTTAAAACCGCACAGGGCATTATTTTTCACCGCTTCTACGCTCTCGTACCGAAACGGCATTTCCCCTTCCCAGAGATTAAACTGAACTGCTCCTTGCCCTCTCCTCACTTCCCAGGCGGGTCTGGGCGACCAACAGCCTGGCGAGGGGTGTGCGCCTCAACGCGCCCGCGATGGAGCCGCGCTCGGGGGAGCGGTCCGCCAGGCATGGATACAGC